GGCGCATCACAGAGCCACATTGGCGCCGGCACACAGCACGGCGAATGTCACCAACCTACATGAAGACCCGGGAAGCGAACACAAAAGCGAAGCCGCGACATCAGGCCTTCTGGCTTGTGTTAGCGTGCAGGTGGTGGCTTACAGGGCTAATAGGGTGACCGGTGATTGGATAGCGTGTCGGAGACTGCAGCGGGCAGCTACTTCAGCACAAGCCTTTGCACATGGTAAAGTGATTTGCTGCAGGTCCCCTATCGGAGTCACCTGGGTGTTAGCATAGCATTTGCTGGCATGTAGAGCATGCCTTCTTCAACCAAAACAACTCCCGAGAGATGGACCCTTGGAACTGGAGAGCATGTAAGGTAAAAGCCAAGACCCAACGCTGCCGTGCCGTAAAACATACTGGTCAGGGAAATTCCAGCCCTGGTTCTTGTTTATGGTGCAAACTGGACATTCACACCAGACAGAAGTCTACAGGTCTCCGGACAATCTAGAAGTCGGCCTTTCATTATAAACACGAATCATTAATTATTCATTTCAGAGAACCGCACATCATGCAAATTCAAACAGTGAATGTTACATGTTGGCAAGGAGCTTCTTTCTAAGTCAGTCATGTTCTCGCTGATATGAGTTTGGACTGTGAGATCAACTTTGGTTGAAACCACCAAACAGTCATGACCTGAGCGCCTGGCAGAGAGGTCTATGCGGCACAGTGTCAAGAACATCCCACGGTTCTACCAGAGAGCACTTTCAGCTCAGCCCGGGATGGGATAGACGAGAAGGTGTTTTTCTGCTGTGATATGACAATGAAACCAGGGGTCTGGGATGATGAGAAGACACAGACGTACAAATTCATCATTCTCCACCATCCTGAAAGAGAAAAAACAGTGGTACATCTTACACGCTTGACTGCCTACTGAAGGTGAGCCTGTCTCTTTGGCTGCGCTTGATGGTTTTCCCCCAAGGTCCTACTAGACCTTTTGACCAAGACAAGCTGGATCCCCACTCCGCACTTCTCTCAGTGGCAAGCCTCCAAGGCTCCTGCGATTTTTACAGTCTCTCCTGCTAATTGCTGAAACATTCCAGACCCTTTCTTCTCTCCCTAATTCTAAATTCCCATTCCTCTCGAAATACGTCTGCTCTCGCTCGCTTTCTCAGCACTCGCTTTCAAAGCTCCCACCGTTTACGTCTCATTCTGCATCTATTTTCACCCAGCGACCACCCCTTAAAGGAAACATCCTTCTGTAAGAACACTGATGACACAGAAAATGAAGTGACGAAATCCAAAATTGCAGTGGATCCAGGTTCTATCTGGAAGGTCTATTCCTGTTTCTTGCTCTTCCTAATTTAGTTCTTCATTCGACCTATCTGGGCCATCCTATTGTCGACTCTTGTGCTCTGTGGTGTTTCCTGTTATTGCACGGGGGGCTTTTAGGAAAAACGAAGCGCCTAACCAAACACACTGGATGCCGTCGTATAGGCAGGACCTAAATCCTAGGGTGCCGCTGATACAACGGAAACAAACCACCAACATCCCATAAATCTCAGACCATAACATCCCACAAAAAAACGGGCCATAGTCATATGAAAAACTAGATTATAGGGATGCATCTCAGCTAATGAACAACATACTCTGAATATTGGCATGGTGTTACAGCAGTGGAATAATGCACCACAATAGATCTGTGCTGTTTAGGAAGTTTTGCTACGGCACCCAATCATGTGTGTAATCCCATCTATGTAGGTGGCCCCATACTACAAAACGCCGTCCTCATCGCCGGGTCGCCGGTGACGACGGGCTGGCTCGACTCAAATCAATATTTCATACTTGTCGACCCATTTCCGACACGAGGGAGGGGGATAATGAGAGGGTGTGGAAATTTCGGAGTCCGTGGGAAATGCCAGATCCGCTGCTTTTGTTCCAGCGGCTGTTCCGGCTGAGGGTCCGGCATCCGGCCCCCGGCGCATCCCGGATCCCTCCGCGCCGTCCCACGCATTTGACCTGTGGCAATTACTGGCCATTGATCCCCAAAACCGCTAAACTTGAATTGAAGGGAAAGGAAACAGTCATAAAAAATGCAGCATTGTCCTCCCTAAGACTATCCCCCCCCCGCCCCAAACAATGGGTCGACCCATTCTCTATTCAGGCGCCAAGCAGTGGATCCTGAGCTGTCCTGAAGTCCTGAGATGTGCAATTTATATTCGAGAAACAATGGGTGCGACTCTGACTTCCCATCGCCTGGTAAATAGTCTAGTTAACTTTGACTTAACAATTAATCATGAGGGACAATGTTAACAATGAGAGACTAGCTAAGACTTTGCAGCCTCTGAGGCTACTCAGCTGTCTGAAGGCCCCACTCGACGCTGAGATGACGGGCCTCACCCCTGATGCCGGTGAAACAAACTTCTAGTAAGACTAAAGGACCAGAATAAACCTCAGCACTAGAGGCACACTAGGAATTGCATTTCTTTAAAATACAGTTTTGCTAAAATAACCGCATTGCAGCTTATTACAAAAACGAGACTTTAGCTTATGAGCAAGTATATAAACAGATAATATTCCCATTGCTGTATGTTTGTTAATTAGACCAAGAGCACAAAAATCTTCTACAACTCACATTGCAGTCATTGATTTAGATTCTAGCCAAGCAATTCATCTCATTTTAATCTAATTATGATATCCATCCACCCACACATCCGTAAGTGCTTGTCCAGTACAGGGGTGTGGTGTTGATTATGATATATTTTGGCCAGACGTGCATTTCTGCATGAAGGTATGCCGAGGCCGAGGGGAACAGCGAGGCAACAGTTTCTCAGATTTAGCAAAGGAACAAAATCACATTTGAACTGCTTTCCTGAGCCGGAACAAGGCATGGAAGGTGCAGCAAGTATAAGCTTAAATTGGGCATTTAAAGAGGAAGCCATGTTTGCGAGGGGAAAAGCGTTCAGCCGTCAGCGTTGACGGAGAGCTCTCTGGGTGGCAGAAATTTTGCAGGCGAATAAATCTCTGCGTCTGTTTTTCTTTTGTTACTAATACGTTTCACTGACAGACATCTCTCTCCATCGCCTCGCTGGCTCAGAAATTAGGGATTTGATTCTAACAAGGACGAGCATTAAAGATTGTCTTACAGCTGGCCTGTGTTTGTGCAGAGCGGCCCTGAGTACATGCCAACCCCACATCAATACGGGTTTAGATTGGACTGCACTCTTCCTCAGGGAAGTATATAACTTGTGTGGATTTGGGCATGGACTCCCGAAATGTTGCTCTAATCTGAAATAACAAATAATAATAACAACGATGATATATTTATATCATCTAAATATATATAAATTTAGATTTATAAGCATATTCTATGCTTGCGTTGTGTATTATGTAAAGGAGCAGTACTGCATCTATAATAAAGCTAATTTACAAGCTCAGCTTCTAGAAGCAAACACCAAAAAAAAAGCCACAGGTCAAATATTTGGTGTCATTGTTCCTTAGATAATTATAAATGTTAGTCATGAGCTGTGGGTTCTGCCAGTGCCCTACAAGGCGTACGGGACTCGATGTGTCCAGGACGTGGTGTCCAGCGAGGACGCCTGAACGCCACAGTCTTGGCAATGGATTTGGTACAAGTCAGAGCCGTTTGATATGCAAGCGCTCGGGAGGGGCTGATTGGCCAATGACACGGGGCAACAGAGAGGTGCCCTTGGAAAGATCCTGCCCCCCTGCTGCCCCCAGTCACAGCTGACCACAAAGATCCCCTCTGGTTCCTTTAAACCTCACTGTGACTCAGCAGTAATAAATGGCGCCGGGGTAAAGATGAGGCTGTGGTTACGGACGGAACGTGTCGATTAGTCGCTTCTTAGCTGCCTCAGAATCTATGAAATGCATCTAAGAGGATCGTACAATTTAAGAGGCGGCTTGGACAGACTAACGCAGTGACTCAGTTGCTGACTCTATTAAATGAGCGTAATTACAGTCCTGAGCAATGTCTCCCATCTCTCTGACTCAGTGAGTCACAGCAGCGTGGCTCAGTAGGGGGGCAGCGATGCCTCATACCTCCAGGGTGGGTGGGGTTCGGATCCCCCCCTCGGCTCTCTGGGTGGCGTCTGAATGTCCTGCGTGTGCTGTGCAGGTTTGTGCTGGCTACTCCGGATTGCCCCAGCAGTCCAAAGGCTCATTGGCATCTCCAAATCGCCCGTATTACGGGTGATGCCTCGTGATGGGCTGGCATCCCGTCCAGCCTTGTGGCCTATGCTTCTTGGACGGGCTCTAGGCAGGAGATGGATGAGTCACAGCAAACAGCCAGCGTGCAGCTGATAAACCAGGCCGGCTCTGATTTCATGAATCGCAGCACAGAGCTGAAGAGAAGCACTTTCCTCCGTCTCGGCAGAAAATAGTTGCGGTGTTCGAATGGTGCCCACCCGGGTTCCCTTCACCCGCCACCCACCCAGAACGCGTCGCCATCGGTAAATCAAACCTGCAGGCGCTTGGTTCACACACACAAACGCGCACCTGGACTCACGCACACACACGGGCGCGTGAGCGCATACACACACGCACTCTGGCCACTTATTAATACCCAGTAAACGGGAACTAAGCGCCTATTCATGGCTGGAGTGCCGGTCACTGTGTGCTGCTGGGGGATTATGTGCCTTTTGCCCTTTCTCCTCAGCTCCACTTGTGGTCCACATTCCCCGCCCCCCCCCCCCCCCCCCCCCCCCCCCCCCCCCCCCCCCACCCAGATGTAAAATCGTTGGGGCAGGGGGGCAGCTGTAACAGAAGCCTGTTTTGGAAGCCACACAGAGACAAGCGGCCTTCAGTGCACGCAGAAGTGCGAGCAGCGAGCAGCGAGCAGCGAGCAGTAGTCTTCCCAGAATTCCCTGGAAAAATATGAAGAGCCCCCCCCCCGGCCTGGGGTTACTGCGCCAAAATTAAATAAATAATAACACACATCCTGTCACTCCGCTCCTGATTAATGCACAGATGTTACAAATTACACTATTAAAAACCTTACAGGTATTATTTTCTGGCCGTCCGGAACCAAAACTCCCAATCCCGGCCTCCAACGGCTCCGAACGCCGTCTGTCCGCGAGTCTCCGGGAGGGGAAGCCGTCCGTGTGAGGAAGGAGCTGCAAGCACGGCAGTCACGACTAATCAATCACGGAGCCAGGCGGCTCACACCACCGCCGATCGTGACGGAGAGCTGAAAGAGCGGAATACAAGCGCTGGATTCGATCCCCGATGTAAGACAAGTACACCAAGTGCAGGAAGGAGCTTGAAGCCCCTGCGGCAGCTCCCGGTGTCCGGGTGTTGAAGTGACTGTGAGTGTGATGTCATCAGGGCTCACAGTCGGGGCAGGAAAGTTTATGGGGCCCTATATAGAGGGGCCCAATGCTCATTCGAAATGCCAGTCTCCAAAAGTCACTGCGGCTAACTCTCCGCCTCTATTCCTCATCCATCCTAGGGAATAAAGATCTATGTCAGAATGGCCGTGAGCATCTACTGTAGGGTTTCCATTTTCAATCTGAAAAAATATGGGATACACACCCCGATATTTACTAAGATGCTGGGCGGGATCAGTCACGCAGTCTGGATTAAAATGTATTCTGATCCAGATACAAAAATACGGGACATAGTGCCTCTTGTATCAGTACGAAAGGAACACAGCATTTTATTTTTTTGGGGCAATCCTGCAAATTATGCGTCAGGTGGTAACTCTGACTGGTAGCCGACAGTCTCTTTTGCCTCGGCTAAATAAATGTACAGTCAGTGGCTAACCTTAGGACATGTGACATCAAACCCCGAGGATTTCACCCCTCAATGGCTCGCCACTCTGGGCAGGGCAAACTGACTCCGTCACATGTAATACAGCCACATCCTGTGGAAGAGGTGCGTGCTGGGTAAGGGAAGGCAGCTATCAGACAGAGAAATCCTATGCGTTGGATTATGTCTATTTCGAAATACATCTGTCATTTTCTGCTTCAAAGAAAAAAGAGAAAAAAAAAATCTGAATGGGTAATTACACACATACCCAGACACTCTCTCCCATGTCAGCTTGAAAGGGGGGGATTTAATTCAATTCCTTGCACGTCAAAGTCCTCTGCACACTTTTTTGTCCAAACAGTCGATCGGGCCTCATTTAGCCAATCGGGGACAGGAATGTCGACTGACAGCTCTGGCCGGATTGTTTCACACTGCATGTGAGCGATGGAAGTTCTCCTCCAGGGCCTGGCTGAAACCCAAACTGCCGTCCGCTCAGACGGAGCTGATTATTTTACCATGGGTGCAGACTTTCGGGAGAGGCGAGTCGCAGTCGACGTTCTTGTCTGGAGACCTCCAGGAGCTGTAGAAGCAGACGATGACTCCCTGTCAATGCATAACCTTATGCTAATCCCTCTGTAGAACTACAGAAGTGGAATATTGTCGTTGTGGCAAAGTAATAATAACTTCGGTGTGGGTTTTCCTGGCCTGCCCATTATGTATACACCTTATGTATATAACAGCGTGGAGCAGTTACAGACCACTGGCAAGGCTATTCATTACATCGAAAACACAGACTGAGGTTAAACACCCCTTCGCTACACTGACCAACACAGCTACCAGGTCCTGTGGTCGTTGAGTGGATTTTAGAGGGATTTGTATGACAGGCTGGTGAGACATTGACAGGCCGGCTAACCCCCCCCCCCCCCAGAGGGCAAGCCTGCCATGAGATTACTGTGCTGGGCTTGACGACTTTAGGTTTTACAAACACTGCTCTGATAATCCAGGAGAAGAGGACCTAAATTCAACAAACACCTTCTGCTGTCAGATGGACTGTTTCCTAATACAAAGTCACTTCATTACCTAATAGAAACCACCAAAGACTCATGAACTATCTGCTTATTAAATAAACAACCATATCGATGGGTATATTCGGCAAGTCATACGTCAACGTGTAGTTCAACACTAGGCGCGTCGTATTGATAAAATTCTAGAATGTTTACAGCGGTTGCTAAGCGCGCTTGGAAACACGTGAACGCGAGGTGGGCGCGGTACCTCCTGAATGGAAGACAGACGTGTATGGGTTGCGTATCAGGGCCTGGAGGCGTGTGAACGGAGAGCATCTGTGGCTGTTTGCCCATTCCAAAGACAGTGTTGGAAAGAAACTACCCTTACATTTTCACTCTCAATTATGCACTGACATATACTGTATTTATAACATCAAATGAACACCAAATTAAAAGAGCTTTTCAGGAAGCTGGTGAAGACAGTCACCAGACCGCTGGTAAGCATAAGGTCGTGTATGATTGTCTATGGTTGCCTATGGTCATCTAAGTCGTGGTTGTCTGCACTGGTTTTCCTCACCATCTCATCTTCACTTGCTTTGACTTTATGCAAATGACTTCTCAGCTTTCAAAATGCTGAATGACATTGCTGATAATTATGCTAACGGGACTGGACAACCCATTGCTACGACTGTTAGCTACCGGACTGGAGATCATCATGAGTTAAAATATCTATATCTATTTACATTTCAGGAATTTTCAAGAAGATACCTCACATCCACACCGGTCTGGAGTCCCGGCATGTTTCAACAACTGATTTGAGCAAACAAATCAAAGAGAACGATCCAAATGACACATCACAGTACATAATTTTATCATTCCTACCCCCCTCAATGTTTAGCAAGGCGAGACTGAAAGAGCACTGCGGATCCAAACACCACAAACATTCTATGCTTTTTCTTCACCGTGGTCCAAGAGCTACAAAGACCGTACACTTTGCTGGTCCACAGATGCTGCCAAGATGACAATGATGGGAGACAGATACACAGCTCGTCCACAAATTGAACTAGATGCACAGTTCGACTCTGGCATCGGCGAGTGTCAGCCCAGTTAAATTAAAATTAGCCACAGCCGTCAGTTTTGTTTTCTGCTCATCAATGAATCACCCAAACGATGTTACGTCAAGCAGGCACCCTGCTTCAGCAGCGCATTGCATGGGTACCACAAAGTTACAAAGTTAAGGAATATTGAACATTTCACTGTGTGAAATTTAAGGTATTGAGCTGAGAGTTATATTCCAATTTGAAGGTAAATACAGGTCAATAGTGCTCTTTAAAAGGCACTAGTATGCTGGACAAAAGCTTGGTAGTTGAGGTACAAAATCTAATGCTTCTAGAGCTAGGATAAAAACTGGAAAAACATATTCAGCATCTGTAATGTGTCACTTTGAAAAAAAAAATACAGCTAACAAGAACACATGCCGTCCTCCCGATTCACGCTGGCAAGTCACCGCCAGACCTACACTAAACGGGTTTTTGTGTAACCCCAGTTGACATGACAAACTGCTTGGGCAGGGTCTGGAGACGCAAAAACAAAAACTAAAAAAATAAATAAAAAATCAATTTGGAGACCTCTCATATTTACCTTGAATTGTCATTCTGATTGTTTGGTCGAGCCCTTGTAGAAACAGAGACGCTGGGCTTAGCCAGAAATGACTGATCATTTCCAATTTATCCATCTCAAATTTGGCCAGTGCTCCTTAATCGTGTATTCTTTCCATGGCGCCACACTAAGCACCATAAATTTAATTAATTTCCTTTTATTTATGTTAGCATGCTTCAGTGCACACTCAAACACAGAGTATTCCTATATAAAATGCGGGGCTTTTCGTTAGGATTTAATATCAATTAAAAGACCACGCCAAAATGACATTGTTCCATGATGTGGAAAGTGGGTTGAAAAAGAATCCGGAAAAGTCCTTCTGAAAAAAGGAGTACAGCTAATCAAATTCTAATAATATTGACATTATGTCAGGAGATAATTCCTGGAAGTAGTTCGGTGCAAAAGGTGTGAAAGATCAGCCTTGATCGATGTGAGCTAACACACGAAAGATTGTTTCGTCTTCCAAAATAATATTTATGTAGATAATAAAAATGATTTGTTGTAAATTTAAGGAAAACTAGTTATGCAGTCCTAAAAGAGATCAGAAAGACGGCTTTCCGCTCCATCTGCACAACTCCGCAGCCTCCCAAGAGGGGGTGCCACTCACCCCGCGACCTCATCCACACATCCAGGGGTGGTCGCAAATCATCTTGTCCGCAGTGGCCCCCAGGGTGAAGGCGAGCCAGCTGGTCGGTTTACCTCGCTGCTTGGAGGTAATTCCCCCCCCACCCCACCGACCCCAGCCGCACGGATCCGGGTGCACTGGGGATCCTGTGCCAAACAGTAGCCGGCAATATGGGGTGGGGGCCAAGAAAAACTTCTGTGCCAAGTTACGTTTCCTTGGGGCCACAAAGGATGGTAGTAGCTGTTATTGATGAAGAGGGGGGGTCTCATTTATTGCTGGAAAACAGGCAGAAAGAGAATAAGCTAGGCCCAATCAGGAGCTGCCGGCAAATGCCATGGGATCGGCTACAACCCTTCAGCAAACGTCTCCCTCGCCCCTATAAATCAAGTGGGACGTTTTGCCGCAATTTGTACAAATCAAGCTAACGGGGCGCAGACAGCTCTGTGACATCGTTCACGGTCAATTGGCAGCATCGGATCGGTTTTTGATTAAGGCAGTTACTCTCCCCCTCTCGTCCGTCCACTTGGCCGACCGCTGCATATCATCCCCCATCTGCTTTGCTGATTTTCGCCAGAGCTTTAAGTGATTCCCCTTTTGTTCTGCGGCTCGCCACCGGGGGCCAGGTGCGTGTTTGATCCCTTCTCTGCCCCCCTCCCTGCATTATCCTTCACAACTTTTCTCTCAAAAAATATAACGATTTCTTGCTGTTTCTAATTACTTACTGTATTCATATGTTATATGCAGCTGATCTGCTCATTTATACTAAATAATAAAATGCTGATTCAATTTAAAAGGCAGGTGTGCAAACTAGACCAGTAACAAGACTAAGTAAAGGAACCACATTGGTGATAATCTGCAAGCTAATTGTTTAATGCTGCTGTTTTTATGCTTGTGTGGAGCACTGAGCTACTGTAGACAGAGAGGGACATGTCACAATAGTTTTTTCCTAAGTGCTGCCCCCTACAGGAGGAAGAGGGCAAGCCCTCTATCTGGCACTCCAGCCAACGTCCCCATTGGGCAAGTCAGCACCACTAAAATACCAGTCACTCCGCTGAAATCTCGTATCCTTATGAAAGAGCAAAGTCCACGACGTCTCTCGAGCGAGTTACCTGTGGTGGCGACTTCGTCAATTTGTCGTGTGAACGATTCTTCGATGAGGAGTCCTGCACACATGGCAGCCTGTTGTAGGGAAAGCAGAGTCACTCTGGCCTGGAAGCTCAAAATAATACTGGGCCCAGTGCCAAGAGAATGATGTATCTATAGCGCCCCCTACACAGATGGATGGGGTCAAAGACGTGACATTGTGGAATTATGGAAGCAATTATCAGTGACTTTTTTTAAACATTGGAGAAGTTAACCGTAACCTAAGCAGTAGCTGAAGAAAATGTAATGCAATTAAATTCAGTTCCTTAGTACTTTATTTCAGAAATGCACGCAAATACCGTAATTATTACGGTATGCATGCAAATACCGCAATTATTAGGGCATATCAAAATTATGCATCAACTCTATAACTATTCTGAAAAAGGTCAGCATCAATGCATATAAAATTATGCAATGTACTCTAGACAATTAGTTATATAAAAAAATGCTAATTCAACAGACGGCCGGTAACATACTGTACATTTATGTCGCTCTTCCCCTCGTAGCAGCAACCAACTTTAAAGCCCAGAAACAACTTGAAGCACCTCAGCGATAATGTTGAGCGGCTATCAAAAATGCAGAACGCAGTTCGTTAGAATTCAGCCGCTGTCCTTGCCCCGATCGCCTCTCTCAATTATCGGAAAATAGCCTAGAAAATTCTGTGTCAAAATTCTGTGTCATTGCTGCTGGAAATGCAAACAATGGAGAGTGCAGGTGGGTTAACGGTTTCTTCTTCAGCTCTGCATTTGGATGCAATTATGTGTAATACAGAATGTCAAGAGCCGGACCTATAATTTCTAAGATATCGGTTGCTTAATGTTTACTTTATAAATCTGCTGTGGCATTCAGTTTTCACTGTGTGCTATAAACAATTACACTATCCAGAAATCTTCAGGACAGGAACGAGGGGAAATCTTAAGCTGATACATGCGCTAGCCGTGAGAATCAGACGTCCAGTGGCACGCTGCCTCACAATGTGACAGGAGAATATGCGCTCGGACCCACTCTGAGACTTTCGCCTAACAGTGGAGAAGGTTTGGAACTGGTTGTCTTTTTGAGAGGAGGGTACTGAGGATCTAAAATAGTCTCTGGTCTCAAATGGTGACTTTTCAGCCTCTGGTCTTAGAAGGGCACATTAGGGCCGGCTCTCTGCAGGAAAGGAAGCTGTTAGCTCACTCAGTGTTTTGAATCAAGGCTGGGGATTGTGGAGCGAGAGCCCGGCTACTTTCTGCAGATCTGCCCGTATGGTATTGCTGGATGGCCTCACTGCACATATTTTTCAGCTTTCTGCGATGGTTAGCAAATCCTTCTGTTGTGCTGTGCATCCATCCCTCTCTAGGGTACGTTTGCTGCTCAGTACACAGCACTTCCCCACATCTGCTTCGCGTTTTCCCCAAAACAAGCACAGGCACACACAAATACACACACACGCGCGCTCCACCTTCAGACACGGTCGTGGTGCCCTTCATTTTTTTTTTTATCATTCAGATGTAGAGCATTAGCGATAATCTACTAGGTGTCATTTCCATGGGGTAGTAAGCAAGAGTTTGGAGCTGGAAGCCTTTATTAAAAGCATTTGTCAGAGAGTGGCGTGCTCGTGCCCAGGGCTTCAAGCCTTTCCAGGATTCTCCATCTCCTGTTGGATCCCAGTACGACCAGAATCATTTCCCCACCTGATATAATACATTACAAAGTCATTGCATGAGCTCTTTTCCTGTTAAGAACCTTCTAGATCTGTCACCGCGTGTAACCTCACATGTCAGTCCTGTATAGGAATCTGATCCCTAAGTCACTGGCACCTTTAAAAGTTCACTTTCCATGGAATGAAGGGAAGGAGAAAAAAAAAAACACGACGGCAGATTAAATGATCTTGACACTGAACCCGCACGGCGAGCAGTACAGCGGGATCGAGTGAAATCTCCAGTTTCATGTCATTTTCCATCACAGCGGGAAAATCCTCCTTATGCCCTAGGAGGGGTTTATTACATTAATCGGGCTGGATAATTAAAGTACAGATCTCAACGTGATGTGCGTTTGACTCAGAAAGGCCCCATCATCACTGAGCTTCTCTGGCTGGACTTGTGGATGGGGATACACTATTGCAATACAAACCAAAGTGTAAAGGCTATGCAACATTTTATAATATTATCACAGCTATGTAACCTGGAAAATTCCGGAAACCAGCAGCATTGTCTTAGGTGCGATGATAAGAGCGGATGTATGTATAACATCTGCGTCTCCGATACAGCGACAATCCAGGAAACCTCCAGCAGATAAGCGGCAGGCCAAACATTTCCGTTTAAACTGTTGCAGTTTGGGGCGCGATTAATGCCGTAGGTGGCTGGGTTTAAGAATAGGTGTGGTCCAAGAGGCCTGATCTGAACACAGAAACATTGGTCACTTTAATTTTGCAGACACTGTTATCCATATTTGTGTATTTTTGAGAAAGCAGGGGCAGACAGTCGCTGGAGCAACTGGGGTCTAGGGGTTTTTCCTCAAGGGCCCAGCAGTGAAATTACTCTGCCAATCATGGGATTCAAACCAACAACCTACTGCTCACAGGCACAATCTTAACCTGCTGAGCCACACGCATAAGAAAAACCATTCAGTTGAGATGGTAACTGGGTATTGCATACAGATATTAGATGGGCAGAGGTTTAATAAATATCTACATTTTTGTATGCATTGAAGAATACTAATAGTATAATACAAGTACTACAGAAACAAGGTTGGACCCCCCGACTGTGACTTCACACGAATCAGCAAACATAAGGCTAAGGCTCCTTAAGGTCGCTTAAGGTTCGCTTTTGCTGGGAGACGCAGCCTGGAATAAGGGTGTGGCCCTGCAGGGAAGACTGGCAGCCAGTGTAGTGGGTGGTGCTGCAAATGGGCACAGACCATGGCCAGAGTGCACAGCTGATGTCGCGCCAGCCAATCAGCCGGCCCAAAATAAAAGCCAGAGGATGGCCCCTTTCTATTGAACAAGCACCGGGCCAATGAGAGCTGAGGTGAAGCTGACCCTCAGAGCCAAATCAAACACCGCGCGTGTGTGTTTGCGCAAATGTTCTCCTGCACATGCCTCTACTCTGTGTTTACTGCTGAGTTCATCTGTCATCCAACTCGCTTTTCCCCAGTTTACGAGACGAAGGTGGACTGTAAACAAGCTCACCCGCTCTCAAGAGCCCTGCAGTACTTTGAAGTTTTTTTGTCAACAGGAGGATTCAAAAAAAGATTTATCCAGGAAACAATACAGCACAGCATTCCGCGGTTTGACAGATTTACCTCTTTGTCAAACAGAGGTTATGGGTTTGCTTCACAATCACAGCTGAAGCCCCCTGTGTGATGCCGCAACGGCAGTTTTGTGATATGACCGCAATCTGACCTGCAGTGCATCTGGTAGAAAAAAGAAATGCACCATATCCTGCGCGGCTGCTTTACTGTGTTTGGGAGCCGCACCATTATCAGGCTGGTGGTCCACCCCACTGCTACAGTCCAAAGAGTCACATGTTCAGCGAGGTGAAGGGGCGGGGCATTTAATAAAGGGGCGGGGCATTTAATAAAGGGACGGGGCATTTAATAAAGGGACGGGGCATTTAATAAAGGGACGGGGCATTTAAAGGGGCAGAGTATTTAAAAGTTATACAGAAAAACTGACAAAAATATAGAACTGACAGACTAAAAGTAAAGATGGATATAAAGAAGTTGCATTAATTTAAGTTTTTTATTTATTTAGCAGATGTGCTTGCATATAAGAGAAAACAAGGTCTGACAGCTCCGGGAGCAGTTGGGGATTAAAGGCCTTGCTCAAGGACCCAACAGTGAAATCACTCTCTTGACCATGGGATTTGAACCAATGACCTACCGATTGCAGACATAGTGTCCTAACCCCCTTCCCCGTGAGCCACACACTGTTCCTGTGCATGCATGTGTGGTCATCTATAATTTGCAGGGAGGGATTTAGACGAGGTGTGTGTACAGGTAAGCGGTATGCGGCGGAGATGTAAACACCACAAGTGTGCCAGACGGGGGTCTTAGCGAATTCCATCAGAAACACATTTTTCATGATTGTCCATGGAGCCTAAGAGGTGTGTGAAGCAGATTTAAGTGACTACCCTGTAAACAATTACAGTTTATTAAATACACACTTGTCATACTTGTCAGGCAATTCACAAGCATGTTTATTGAGATAACATTTACGAGAGAGAGTGAGAGAGAGAGAGTGAGCGAGAGGGAGGGAGAGACAGCTAAACGTCCCAGGCTGACGGCGACAGATAAACATCACAAAACAGGAGAACTGACTGGATTTATCTGCTAAATACACATTTTAAACCTCTCATATCGGCCAATCCCTAGAATCTATGGTCAATAAGCAGTCAGTGAGGGACGTTTCGAAAGGTTTAATTTAACCAGTTTTACATAAGACAAGTTCATTGTTTTGATTAGAACGCTTGTTTGTGTTTAAGGTAGCGGACGAAAAAGTTGGAGAAGCTATTATGTGGCGACGGTGTAGTAAAGCTTCTTTTCAATTAAAGGAGAGTCACGGAGAAGCTGGGCGGTGAGGGCCTGCCCTCCCATGCTGCCTGCCCTCCCGTGCTGCCTCCCTCTTGGACGTTCTCAGGTGCAGTATCCCTGTGGGGATGAAGACGGCGAGCTTACTGGCAGCGAGGCTGGGAGGCCGGGTGGTACGACTCGCTCGCTGACTAAATGAACTCGTTTTACATGTAACACGGAAGGAATGCTGGGTAGCCGGACTTGGTTGCTGTCTAAATTAACTTTGGCTAATTAATGTAATTCATATTCAGCGTGGACTTGAATGCAATGAGTAATTCTAAGGAATAATACAGCTAGTAATTTGGGTGATTGTGTGTGTGTCATATGATGCATTGTCCTCCCATCCAGGGTGTCAATCGGATTGTCATCTGGCTCCTTGCACTGGATTAGTGGTTGGAAGATTGATGGATGGATGGATGGATGGATGGATAATCGGTAATTGATCAGAGTACAGAAGCAGTGTCAAACTAACAGATTCCCCTCCCCCCCACCCCCAGGATGGAGTCACTTCAGATACAAGGCACGAGTGGTAGCATCATATCAGCCTATCCCACAAACAGAATGAGCGCCCCCTATCTGTACCCAAAATATTCACCCCATACTGCAACGCAACCAATGCAGTGATTCCGGACCTGGGAGAACTGGGACAGGAACGAAGTGCGCAGATGAAGTGGATCAAAGAGGGTGCACGTTTCAGGGGCACGGTGCCAGGGCAGAGCCGACCGCACCCCGGCTGCCAAGGCCCGCACCAGGGCGCTGCGGTCCGGGCCAGCGGCCTGCACTCATGCTAAAATCTGTTAGCGACTGAGCGTCGCCCCTTTGGCTGCCCCGCATACCGCATTATACGGTGCTTTGCGAAACATAGCGAGGGGGCTTGTAAGGTTAATGTGCTCGGGTACTCGCCTTTCACGCCGCTCGCAGGAAACATAAAACGATGGAAGAACACGGTCATGACTGGCAGCTCGCCCCACCCCCGCCTCTGCCCCACACACCTCTTCCAGTCACACGGTTGCCCGGACTTACACGCATGTACCCATCTGCCGTGGGTCATTACTACTCAGACGTAAGCTACTCGGCTGTCAATAGGGAATAAAGCAGCAGGAACTGATTCTAAAACACCAGCATTTACCTGGAACAACTGGCAATTAAAGGCCTTGCTCAGGGTGAACAAACCTGCAGACCCTGGGGTTTGAACCAACAACCTTCTGCTTATATACACAGCAGCCTAACCTACTTGCCAAGGCACAAGCGCATATCTGAAGCATTGACATAATTTGTCAGGCTTCTAGAGAATGTACATTGGCTCTTTACTGCATTTTTTTCCAGCAAACGGGCTGCCCCGTGCTTCGTTAGATCTCTTTATGGTCTCCAAAGTCCTTTTTATTGAATTAAAAAAAAGAAGCTATGCTGAAATCCATGCCATCTTCATCGTGGAAACCGCCCCTGATGCGAAAGCATCCAGGTTGCCAGGTGTCAATTTCAATCCATCTTGCAGGGGGAAAGGGGACGTTTCAATTTAGTTGTTTTTTTTTGTTTTTTTTTGGACACCCTCCTGTAGGGAAAGGAACGCGACCCGCGAGCCACCATCCCACCACGGCTCTCGAGTTGAGCAAGAGGACACCAACCTGCTGCCCACAGGCATATGGATGGTATAAACCTCCCGTTTCCACAGGATATGCATGCTGGCTCATGTTCGGGATTAAAGCGAGGGGCTATTAAGTACTTCCTGTCTGGGGGCACCAGCTCTCCGCTGCTGCCTTAGTCGGCCAGGGAAGCTGACTCAGTAGGAGCAGATGATTCTGAGGACCGGTGCATCACTGCGAAAGGACATCGTGAACCACCCCTTTGAGTGCTTTGGGTGTGGTTTAATAACCACATAGGGGGTGCTGTGTGGGCCAGCAGCTTAGGCCGCTGTGCCTGTAAGTGGAATGTTGCTGGTTCAAATCCCAGTATTAGCACAGTAGTTTCACTATTCAGTCTCTGAGCAAAGGCCCTAGAACTCAGTTGTTCCAGGGACCGTCTGACCTTGCTGTCTCAGACATGTGCATCACTGTGGATAAAAGTGTGCGCTAATAGAATGTAACTATCAGTGATCACTTACTGCAGATTTTTCACTCACACACACACACACACACACACACACACACACACACATATTATATACTGTATATATAGGCAACATACAGCCTCATCATAGGTCTTACGGCAGAGAGGTGACCCTCCTGGCCGTCACACCGGGTCCTCAGTTTCAACCCCACAGTGTGAGGCACCTTTAAGCAGCTACTCCTGGCTCACAGTTTTACAATTTACTCATACATATTTTATTTTATTTATATTCAATATTTTATTGAAGCACTTTGGCTTAAGTGCTTCGCTTGTGGGCCTGTATAGGGACCTAAAACTGTTGCTCTTCCACCGGGAGTCTGGTAGCAAAACCGCCACGCCCCCTACTGGCCCGTCAGCCTCACTGCATGTCGGGGAGCTGGTGATGCAGGACACGCGGCACTGTCAGCACATACAGCCCCCGCTCACAGGAGACGCGCTGTGCAGAAGCTGGCGGGAGCCCCGAAATGGGGCTCACATGAGCTGGGATCGCAGCGTGTCGGAGGGGGGATACGGTTCAGACAACCGTGGAAACCAAATAAACCTGCAAGTAAATGAGTGAAATCTGGAAGGAGTGCCATGGAGTTTGCCGGCATGTTCCTGCCAGGCAGGAACTAGGAGCATAAACTAAAACTACAGTTAGTAATTTTCCCGATGCTGATGCGTCGTCTCTGAGCACACAATGGAACTGCAGAGCCAGGTGTTAAAAACAGAACAAAAGTATTGATCCAAGATGCACTCCATGTAAAGATGAAGAGGGACTTCATTCCTTCCCATAGTCACTTCACTTAACAACTAAATCTGCCCCTGACATTCAATGAACATACCAACTCTGTAAGCCTGAATCTGTTGATGTGTGTTGGAGGTAACATTAGGTCCATTACATGGTAAAATCACATGGGATTAAACAACGTTTGGGAGCAATCGAGCTTTATTAAATTATACTCTGTTCAGCTATGACCAGATAGTTACCTTTTAAACGCCCAGTGATTCCATCGCGTTTGAAGTTTCGTGCTCTTAACGCGCAATCACCAAGAGGCAGTCATGCGGCCGAGCAGAGGAGGAGCTTGGCGTGGACGTTTCCTCGGATACGCTCGATGAGCCGCCACGGGGCGGCCCTGGCACACGCCGGGGACGCGGCACAGTCGGGGGGGGGGACACGTTGGTGTAGCTGGAAGGCAGATTAAAGAGATTATCATGGGAAAATAAGCCATTTGTTTCAATTCTCATATCACCATTACTAAATAAACTAAGATTATTACAAATCACTACGCCAGCAAAAACACAAAACACAGAACATTCTAGAACTGTAATGTTGGCTGACGTACCGCTGTCAGCATCAGCAGTGAACTGTTTCATATCTGACACTAGCCAATGGAGATGCGTACAGATTAGTGTCACCAGGGCAAACTCCTGCAACGATGTCACTTCCTGTTAGTGTCACTTCCTGTTGGGGTGGGTGCCAGGGCCTGATTTCAGCTTCCATAACCCACTCATGGAAGTGAAGGCCCACCACTGGAAATATCTGCCCCTAATATCTCCGATTGAAATAGAAAACAAGCTACTCCACTGTAATCGAGTGTAACCTCTGCTGTTGCATACTGACCTCCTTCGCAGACACATGGAGCGGATTACTGGGGAAGCCTGTGGCTGCTGACAGGTGAAGGGACCAATGTAACGGGCCTCACTGGCAGATCGATTCAGTATAACAAGCGACTGTATCCAGCTCTTACAGCGCTTAATGATTCTCTACTGTAAGCTGGCTTTTCTGACCCCCCCACTCCCCCCATGAGAGCACAGCTTGACAGCCATTTAATGGGTCCCTGAGGCCCCACGGGGGGGGCTCACATATCTAGATGTTGGATTTACAGGACGTAGCTCAGGGGGGCAGCACCCCTCCTCAGGTGGATGGATGTGGAGGGACGGGGTTGTCGGTTTGTGGACCCCCCCCCACACACAGGGCTAGTTCCCAACAGGGACAACTGATGCAGTCAGGGACAGGAATTCCCATTGGTCATGGAGCTCGGGTCCAAAGCTGGCATTTGCAGGGGTTTTAGGACGAGACAGGTCCCGTGGGGCAGTTAAACTGGTGCAGGATCAGTAGAAAAAAAAGCCACACAAACGAAGAAGCACAGAGGAGGGTGGGGGTGCGGTGGGGGACCTCAATAGAAAGGTCAGACCCCACCCCCCTGGATGACACAGTCTAGTCTGCCGGTCCTGATCAGCCGGTCCTGATCAGCCGGTCCTGATCTGCCGGTCCTGATCTGCCGGTCCTGATCAGCCGGTCCTGATCTGCCGGTCCTCTCTCTCAGACGCAGCCACACCATTGGGCCTCCGCAGCCAGAGAGGCCGAGCCGTAACAGAAAGAACGAGCTTTATGCTTGTTAATCTTTTTTTTATTATATTCCGAGGTTTTAGCGCTTTCCTGCCGTCGCCACGACGCGGCACTTTATCAGTGTAATAATCTCTGCTCGATGTGCCTGACTCATTCTCCGGTAACCAAAACCACATGCAGGTCCCTTTTACTGGCCCGGTAAGGAAACCTGACAAATGAGGTGGATTTTATCAGAAGATAAAACGCTGGACGCTCTATTTCTCATACAGAAATCACAGAAGCCCAATCGCAGAGTCCCGACGTGTGTCTGGTTGCTCTCTATTTATAAAAGAAAGGGTAAAAGAAGCCTGTTTTATTGGACAGAAGAACTCAAAACCCTTTGCAAGGTCCAGAACGCAGATGACACATGCATTTGCATGGACACACAGCCTGAGGGCAAACTCACAAAAGATGCAAGCTTTTCTGCAGAAGATTTTCCTCGAGAGGGATGAGTTAAGTGCGTTACTCAGCGTGTGTCTGTGCTGATCGCGCACAGGGCCGCACTGACCGACTTTTGTGACATCAGCGTCGTGTCGTTAATTAAGATTCTCTTTCTCTCCCACCCCCCCCCCCCTTTGTGACATGCTGCCTTTTCCCTTCGTCTTCTTTGTTTTTTGGAGCTGACTGGTAGCATCTCACAACCCCCCGCCCCATCTTTTTTTCCAGAGCCAATCTATTACCATAACAAGGGGAGCTTGGATGCGGCCGGCCTTTAGCCGTGCGGAGGGCTCGTGGGACCGAGCCGAGGCCCGATCGAGGGTCTGGGGGCTTCGGGTTTGAGCGCATTGGTGGGGGGGGGGGTGGACCTCCGCAGCTGGGCACGGTTTTTGTTCAGCATGCAGCTGGCCCACTCTAGGTGCCCAGATTCCAACACACTGCCTGCATAAATCTTCACCCCCCACCCCAATTGGCGCCCACCCCAACAACAATGCCACCATCTCATTCCATGCCAAGACGGCCCCTTCTCGTACATTTGGGGACGGATAAATGGCAGCCATTGTTGCATGGTGGGGGGGGGGGGGGGTCATACTCCCGCCATCGCTCTTTGTTTTCACAGCCTCGATTTTTTGTGGCGGGGCCTATCATCCCGTGCCGGGAATCGGCCTGCCGGCAAGTCGTTCCGGACAAGAGACAACTTCACTTTATTTCGGGGGTGTGGCCAGCTGGCTCGGAAGGTGCCAGAAAAATCCGATCCGGTTTATTAGTTTAAACCCATTGGCACGGAACTATTCGCGTTTTGTTTTGGAGCGAGGAACGAAATTGTTTTTACTGCACATGATATTGGGAATGGCAAATAAGCCTGAGATCTGTCAAAAATGAGGCCATCGTGCAGCATTATAAAGTGCAGACACTGCGGACGTACGGCTGGCCTTTGGGCTTGATGTGAGTGTAGCTATGTTTCCTGGTAACGGGATGCAGTAAATACCCCCCCTAAACAAGCACGTGCGCACCGACACACAGCGTGCCCTCACACAGAGCAGCCTGTCATCTTTGGGTCCACCCTTCGGGTGGAGGTGGGCGGGGGATGGGGGGGATGTGTGCACCTGAAGCCCCCCGGTCGGGCCCTCACACCGAGGTCTGGGGCCTCCATGACGGTCCCCTTTCCAAAGCCAATCCGCAGCTTGGGGCCCGTCATTAATAACCAAATAAAGAGGTCTTTATTGGGGAGGGTGTCACTTTTTGGCTTCGTCTGGGGCAGGGGGGCGAGTGTGGACAGATGAATGTGCCGCAGCTGGGGCCGAGCGGCGAGGAGGAGTTAGTGGGGGGGGGGCGTGGTAACAATGGGTACAAGGCGACGCAAAGATGGCAGAGAAGGAAGGCTTTGTTTGGCACAGGTGCCCATACCCCCCCGCCCGCCCGCCCCACCCCACCCCACGCCCTGTGTGCATTGTGCAGCTTCATCGATTATGCATGCGACCTGCGGACGGGATTGGCAGCTTCCTGTCAGGGGCCAGCGGCCAAGCCAGTGCTGCACAGCACCAGGGACGGCAAAAGAGAGGGGCCAAAAAGGACCGGCTTTAAAAGACGCAAGTGAATAGGGCCAGGAGTGTGTCAGCTGTGCGCTTCTCCTGCACGACCATGTGCGTGCTGCATGGCTGTCAAGCCGTCACGGAGCCGGGGCTGTCTGCCACCAGCGGTGAGCGAAAAGCTTTCCCCGCAGGTCACATCGGACAAGCGTCACACTGCCACTTTATCTGTTTATTCTATTCTTTCGAAAAAGCTAAGTTAATGGGCTATAATTACATGACAGAATTACAGTAATAGGCATGTAGGAAACTTCAGTGGTTCAGCATAGGGTGAAATCAGCCCAATTAAACTTAATTTTTGTCCCACTGTGCCTCCTCATCAATATTACCTGACCCAGTGGCGCCGATATCCTTATCCCACTGCCCCCCCCACCGCACCCCCAGTGATAAAATGCCGTTTCCACTGCGGTACCGGCTCAGTGACACAGCCCTTATACGACACGATGTTTGTGGAAGAAAGACCTCATGGCATTAATCAGACTTCCCATGTTCCAGTTTCACCCCACTGAGACATGGGCAGCCTCACTTCAGTGTGCATCCCACACACACACCTGAACGATGGACGGCACTATTTAAACAAGCGATTCCAAGCTCCGGGTGTAGAACCCACAACATACAGGAAGACATATAAACTCATGTGGTGTTTCTTTAAAGTAGTACGATCCTTAGCAGCCCAGAGACAGGAGCCGATGCAGTTCTGGCACTGGGAGTTTAGGTAAAACAGAATCCGGTGTGACAGGGCTAGTGAGGAAGAGGATGGACCCCATCAGTGTGTGGCAGTGAGGAAGAGGAGGATGGCCTGCATGGGCTGCTCTTTGCCGTGACATTAACAAGGACTCGTAATGTGGAACCTACGTATAGCCAGACACTGTACACATGTCATCAGGCAAACAAACATAATACCAGATTAGGTTACAGTGTTGTTGTTTTACAGACCATAATGCAAATTCACTGTACAGCTTCAATCCCAAGCCCTCCTACCTGAGCCTCTGTCTGTTTAGACTCAAAACTAGTCAAAGCATCTTACAGGATGTTTTTTTTTTTTTCCCGCTGTTGTCCATGCATGCCGAGACTGAGAGACCAGCGGGGCCGGGCGCTCTGTGACAGCTTTGGCGTGGACGAAACCTGTGGCCCCGTGGAAGCGTGACCTCCGACCCCCGGGCCAGACTCTGACGGATTGCGGGGGCACCTCGAACTGACACCTCTGGGCCTGTGCGACGTTTGCACCTTATCAAATGGCCCTGCTGCCCCCCGAGTCTGACAGGAGGTAAGCCTTTGAAGCTGCATCCATTTCCTGTGTGTTCACAACATCCCTGGAAAAAAAACGAAACCAATTTACATGCGCGTGTTTGCCAGTGAGCGGCACGTCGAGACAACTTCTGCGCGTGTCTCTCCAGACATTAATGTAATACTCCGAGTCTGTAAATGTTTCCAGATGTTCTTCTAGATGTTTAGTGGTCAGTTCCAGGTTACTGTCTAATTGTTGCAATATTGGTTCGACAGAACGTACAGTGACTTCATTTCGCATGTAGCCCATTTGTCAGTGAACGCCCACAGCAACGACTGTCCAGGCTCCTTCTCTTTATTTCTTGAAGCCTTTGTTTTCCCCCTCTCCTGTCTGCAACGACAGCGATGTCCCCTTAAGGGCAACAACGGCTTCATCCACAGCTTCCCTCAAATCGATAAATTGCAACCAGACACATCTGCCGACACATGTGGAGGGCGTTATCTGATCACAACGCAGTCAGGCCAGAGCTCACAGCGCCGCCT